ACACACACACACACACACACACACACACACACACACACACACACACACATACACACAGACACCCTCTGCCACCCCCACTTTCTTTTTCTCTAAAGTTCGAAGTCCTTTCATTTTTGTGTAGTTTCAAAGTCCATTCCTCGATAGCATGTCCACTATGTCAACACCTATGCACATATATATGGGTAGTAATCTATATAAATGTTTTCCCACTCATTTCTTGTGTTGAAGATTTGTTTTTCTTGGAGTTTTTGATAACAGGAGGATTTTGAGAAGATGCGTCTGTTTGTCCGACATCAAGTGTGTGAATTTGTTCTCTTGCTTGTTTAATAAATGAGCAGATTGATATTGCCTTATGATTATTTTTTTTAAATATATTGGTGTGTTTGCTCCTTCTTTCCTATCAAACATCTGTCGTCCTGATCTCTCCTCCTTCACTTTTGTGTTTGTTACTCTCTTGTAACACCTCTAATTTTCAGCACTCAATATGACCTTATTGTGTTGCAAGTGCTGTAAAACTCTTACCAAAACTAAACCTAAAAATATGTTTAATTTAAAAAAATGTAAATTGCGTTTTTGGCAAAGGATTGTGAAATATTCTTTCCCCTTCAAAATGGTGGTCTACATTATATCATTATGTTGGTGGATCTATAGTGTTTTCCTCTAACTAAAAACCCCCCTGAAAAAACAAACTACCCCAAAAACGAAAGGTTGCTCACAAAGGGGAGTTTGTGTGATAGAGTTTGATGTGAATCTTCTGTACTACATTTAATTAATATTTTATATATTTTATGTTTACATTGTTTCAGATTCTGAACTCACTAAAATCGTGCCGCCATTTTTCACAAGTTTCTGGATTAAAGGTAAGTACAATTTTTTTTTTGAGGAGGGGGGTGGGAGGAGTAAAAATGATGTTTATTTTTGTAGGAAAATGTCACATGTTTGAGTGTAAAGCTAACAGTAAAATTAGCAGTGTGTTTTTCTCTGTGTGTGTGTGTGTGTGCATGTGTGTGTGTGTATGTATGTGTGTCCGCGCACATGTGTATTTAAGTGCTCATTCAGGCCTCTGCCTCCCACTTCCAACATAAACGCTCAAGCAAGGACACATACACACACACACACACACACATACACAATCACCCTCCCCCCCCCTCCCACACCACCACCACCACCACACACATACACACACATACATACATAATATGTACACTCTCACTCACATATTAAAAAATGGAAATGTAAACTTGCTGACCAAAGCACCCCCTGCTCAGAGGCAGTTAATTAATAAGCAATATATGCCAGTCCTTGCTAATAAATTATACTGATATTATCATAGCCAGGTATGTCCTTTAAAGTTTCTCTGGTGTCGAATTACTGCGCTCATTATTTATGCTAAATTTCTTGCAAACATTTTGTTCTAAATGTGTTTTCTGTGATGTTATATTGTGTTGTGAATAGGGTTGCATTTCTCTGTACCCGACACTTGTGTCCAGAGCAACATCGTTGCACATTTGTTGTGATTGCTGAGGGAAAAAATTGTCTTGTCTTGACTTGTTCAGCAACATCGTTGCACATTCGTTGTGATTGCTGAGGGAAAAAAATTGTCTCTTCTTGTCTTGTTCAACAACACTGTGGCACATTCGTCGTGTTTCCTGAGGGAAATTGTCTTGTCTTGCCTTGCTCAACAACACTGTTGCGAAACAGTCTTTCGTGTTGTGAATCTGATTGTGTTGTGCTTCTGTACCTGTAAGTCGAGTCCGGTATAACATCCTTGCTGAACAAAACTCAACCGTGCTAATTTGTGTTTGCTGATTGAAATTCTTCATCGTCTCGTCCTTTCGCTGACTTTACTCGCTCGCTCGACATTTTGTTGTTCCGCCATGATTCAACAGGATGTGGTCATCGTCAGCTCAGTCCGCACGCCGATCGGCTCCTTCCTGGGCTCCCTGTCCACTGTCCCGGCGACAAAACTGGGATCTACCGTCATAGCGGCCGCCGTGGAGAAAGCTGGTTAGTTTGTGGGTTTTTTTGGGGGGGGGGTTTCCATTTTTGTTTTTGTTCCTGTTCTTGTTTTTTCTGTGCTTGTTGTTGTTGTTCTTTTCTGCTCTAATTCTTTCTTGTTCCTGATTTTTAAAAAAATTATTGTTGTTCGTTTTTGTTCTTGTTCTTGTTTTTGTTTTTCTTGTGCTTGTTGCTGTTCTTTTTCTGCTCTAATTTTTGTTCCTGTTTTTTGTTGTTGTTCGTTTTTTCTTTTGTTTTATTCCTGTTCTTGTTTTTGTTTTTCTTATGCCTGTTGCTGTTTTTCATGTTTCTCTAATTTTTTTCCCTGTTTGTTGTTGTTGCTGCTGCTGCTGCTGTTGTTGTTCTCCTCCTCCTCCTCCTCCTCCTCCTTCCCCTTCTCCTCCACTAGTGTGAATTGTGTCTCTGTCTTTTCACATGTATTCTTGTCTAAATTTTTTTCTTATGTTGTGGTGTTGTTGTCTCATTCCTGTCTCACCCTAGTAGTACTTTATATCAATCTTTTTTCTTATCTCTATTTTAACCATTTAAAATCATTTTATTATTCTTTGTCTTATGTCATCTTGTTTTTTCTTATACAGTAAGACCTGCTCTAATGCCCCCCTGTCTCCAAGACAATCATCTTCATAAACGGCCACTTCCCTTTTTTCCCCTTTGTTTTTTTTATATGATAAAGACACTGTTCAAGACGTGCACCTGTCTAAGACAACCACTTTTCTCCTCAAGTATGGGTTACCGTCTTGGACAACTTCTTTTCTCCACAACAGTGGGCTGCTATTGCTATCTTGGACAATTTTGACTGTATCTAATGCTTTCATCCCTCCTCCTCTCCTCC